TCATCTTGTAAGAACTGTATGTCCTTGTTTTTTGTCAAGAAGATCTTTCCAGTGGTGTCAGTGGCATGTTAAAATCACCCACTATGATTGCATTGCTATTTATGTCTCCACTGAAGTCTTCCAGAAGATTTTTAATGTATTTTGGTGCTCTTGTGCTTGGTGCTTATATGTTTACTCGGGTTATATCCTCTTGTTGGATTGGTCCTTGTAATATCATGTAGTGACCTTCTCTGTTTCTTATTATGGCCCTCATTTTGAAGTTTATCTTGTCAGATATCCGTATTGCTACACCACCTTTTTTTCTTTTCCATTTTCTTTGAAAAATTTTCCACCCCTTCACTTTTATCCTGTGTAAGTCTTTTGTTGTGAGGTGGGTCTCTTGTAGACAGCATATAATGGATTGTGTTTTTTTATCCAACCAGCTACCCTATGTCTTTTGATTGGAGCATTTAAGCCATTTGCATTTAAGGTTATTATTGATAGATAATTATTAGTTGTCATTTTAATTGTATGCCTGTTCTCTCTCTCTCTGTTTCTTCTTACAACAGTCCCTTCAGCATTTCTTATAGTGCTGGTTTGGTGGCGGTAAATTTCTTCAGCTTTTTAAAAAATCTGTGAACCTCTTCATTTCTCCTTTGATTTTGAATGATAGCCTTGCTGGATAGAGTAGTCTTGGATTCAGACCCTTGCCTTGCTTCATGCCACTCCTTTCTGGCCTGCAGCATTTCTATTGAAAAATCAGCTGACAGTGTAATGGGAGCTTCCTTGCAGGTAATTCTGTCTCTCTTGCTTCCTTTAAGATTCTTTCTTTGTCATTAATGTTTGCCATTTTAATTATGATGTGTCTAGCTGTGGGTCTTCTGGGGTTCATCTTGCTTGGGACTCTCTGTGTTTCCTGGATTTGTGTGACTTTTTCCTTCATAAGTTCATAGAAGTTTTCTGTCATTATTACTTTAAACAGGTTCTCTATTCCTTTCTCTGATTTTGCTCCTTTTGTTATCCCTATAACCCAAATGTTGTTACGTTTTGTAGTATCCCACAGCTTTCTTAAACTCTCCTCCTGCTTTTCAACCTTTTTTTTTTTTCTTTTGCTGCTCTATTTGAGTGTTTTTCTTTACCTTGTCTTCTGAGTCACTGATTCGGTCTTCAGCTTCTTCTAATCTACTATTGAACCCTTCTAAGGTATTTTTCATATCAGCTATGTCATTCTTTATTTCGTGTAGATTTTTATTCATATCTTCTATCTTCATTTTTAAAGCTGAAGTAGTTCTCAGTGAGCTCTTCATAATTCTTATTAAGTTGCTTGTAGTTCTCACCAAATTGGTTGAGCACCCTTAAAATCATTGCTTTGAATTCTTTATCTGACACATTTTCTTTTATTTCATGTAGTTCTTTTTCTAGTGATTCATCTTTTTATTTCCTTTGGGTGTTGTTTCTTTGTCTCCCCATTTTAGCTGTCTGGTAGCTCTAAACCCAGTGAGGGATGTTTGGATTGTTGGCAGCTCACTGTACATCAAATAAGGCTGGTATGCCTCCCAGACTCTTCTGTTGCATGTCACCTCTTGCCTGTTGTGGATCCTGGAAGATTGACTACTGGGAGCTGGCATTGGTGTGCCCTGGTAGGTGCTGCTGCTGGACTGTGTGGGCCCCTCTGAAGCTGTGTTTCCTGCTGGTTTGTGGTACCTCCTGTAGCTGTATTGCTCAGGCCCTGCTGAAACTGCACTCCCTGCCCGTATTTTGGGTAGCTGGGTGACACAGGCTCCTCTTGAGCCACAGCTCCCAGCCATACCTGTGGGCAGCTAAATTGTACAGGCTCTGTTGGAGCCTCTGCTTTCTGCTGATCCCATGCGGAGCTGAATTGCACTGGCCCCTTTAGAGCCCCTGCTCCGCACTGGACTTGTGGGCCACTGGGTCAAACAGGTCCCTCTGGATCTATGGCTTCCCACTGCTCTAGTGGGCAGCTGTGTTGCACAGGTCCCTATGAAGCCCCAGGTCTTAATACTGGTGGCTGGGTAGTGCTTCTACCCAGTGGGGCTCAGCTCCTGTTCAGCCTTTGCTATAGTTTTTGGGGACTGTTCTCTGATGCTGGTCTGTGCTTCTGTTGCCTAGGGATGGATGTCTGCTCCCCAGCCTCTGTTGCTGGGGGTATATCTCAACTCTGATCAGGCTGCTCCTGCAGGGGATAGTGCTGGGCTCCTGGCTATTTACATTTCCACAACTGGCACCATGGAAGCTTCACTACTGTGCACTGGTTTATGTTGACACAGGGTGCCCACTGGTCTGATGGTGCCAGGTGCACTGATGGGCTCAGGTTGCTGGGACCCAGCTGCTCCCACTGCCTCCTCCCAGGGAAGACCAGGGATCTTCCAAAATGGTGGGACTCCCCTGTGGTGCAGGAAGAAGCGCCCTAAAGAGCCACTTACCGCAGTAACCGCTGCTCCCATCCACAGCACAGAAACCTTCTGCTCCATGTCTCTGCACTGCACAAGTTTAGTCATCCACTTTCATGTCCACTCACCCTCTCTCACACACTAGCTCACTCTCTCATGCACTCACCCTCCTTCGGTCCTGCCCGCCACCATCTTCTAACATCAATTTTGAAATTGGTTATTTAATATAGGTAGAACCAGAATGACAAAGGTTATAAGCCAGTGAAGAAAAGAATAATGAAAAAAAATTTTCCAGGCCTCTGTACAAAAGTCATTATCATTTAGTAGTACAGACTTTGTGTAAAACTCCAAGGTCTCAACATCAGTGGGAAGAAAAAAGTCTCTCCACTCAGTTCATCTGAGAAGAGCTTAGTGTATTGCTGTTTTTGTTTTGTTTTACTGCATAAGTAGACCTATAACTGAGAAAAATACATTTTATAATGCTGCAATACATCATTTCTACATTTTCAGTCAAGCTTCAATTTTATTAATATAAAGTAATCAGGGTATCCGTTTAAAACATAATAAAACCAAAAGTATGGCTACAAAGTAATAATACTGTTGTTTGCTTTGTTCTTTTAATCCTAAGTAAAGTCATCACCTAGGGGGTCTGTAAACTTATTCTAAGGATGCTGACATTGGTCAAAACATTTCAGGGACTCTTCTTTGAAAATTGCTTTCAGAACTAGCTTATAAGGCCCACAAGAAAATCAGTTTCATTACTCTACAGTCTCACTTGCGTAATACTAACATAAATGTAGTAGTGGGAAACAGAATGATTTAAGATATCATAAAATTTCACATTTTTGTTAAATGCAGATGCTAATTTTCACATTGTAAAGTTGTCATTTAATTTAAATACAGTAAAAATAAGGCTGTTGACTAAAGTAAAAGTTTTACCAAATTAAATTGAACCATTAAATTACTAAGTTTACAGATTTTAAGTACAAAACTTATTTTTATCTAAGAATAAGTGTATTCAATGGAAGATAATGAACAACAGGCATTTAATAACATTTTAACTTTATGTGGTTAAATATTCAAAGCTATGTTCATAAACCCACGTGCCTGATCTAGTGATTGTGCTTATGAAATGCTGCATTCCTCATATGCCCTTAAGTCTCCATCTATTTTCTGAAAATTGCATTCATTTGCACCCCAGTACAAATCCTATACGTTTTCAGTAAAATATTCTATAGTGTTAAAAATAAGAAAGTTCGCCCAGCCGGTGTGGCTCAGTGGTTGAGCGTTGACCCATGAACTAAGAGGTCGCAGGTTTGATTCCCCATTAGGACACGTGCCCAGGTTGTAGGCCAAATCCCCAGTGGAGATCATGCAGGAGGCAGCCAACTGATGTTTTCTCTCATTGATATTTCTATCTCTCCCTCTCCCTTCCTCTCTCTCTTTAAAAAAAAAAAAAATCAATAAAGAAAAAAAAAAAAAAAAGAAACTTCCCCAAAACAAAAGCTACCTGCAAGCAGGAAAAAGGGGAATTAACATTTGATTCTGTTCCAGGTTCTTTCTCTGTGGCAGACTCTTTATGGGCATTTTCTTGTTTAATTCTTAGAATAAACCTAGGAGGTATATTATCATGGTGCAGCTGACTCATACATAACTTTGTAGTTTACCTTTCCAAGGGCTTTAAAAATAATCCTGTTATAATACTACACCATCTGTCTGAAAGAACAGTTTTTTTCTTTAAAACAAACAATTCTACCAACATCATTATGGGTAATACAAAAATAAACAATCATCAAAAATCAGAGGGAGATGAGTAGTTTCCACTTTACTTAAAAATTGCAGTATCATCAGTATTTAGAAATCTTAATAACACTGGATCTAAAGAACCAATAGAAATATACTCTATCAGGCTGCAATTTTACAATAACTCATCATGGTATAATCATGTCAAATAAATGGAATGATGACCACTCACATATTTGATTAGATTATAGGAGTTAAATTTAAAATGAGAAATCAAATATCTAGTTTCAAGAATTTCTCTGAAGTGTCTTCATCTTCTCTAACATTATAGTTAATTAATGACAACTTGTGTCTTAATAACACCTATATCCCATGATTCTATATGTTCTAATCAATAAATGAAAGTTGTCTGCCCCATGAACTACTTTGAGGCTTCTGGATAATGTATATGGGTTGTACTGCAATGTCTCCTCTCCAGAGGCCCTCCTTTCCCCTTTGAAGTTATCTTCAGCTTTATCTTTCTCTCTCTCATCCAAATAGTGGTGTTCAAATGTTATTTTTTTCTCTCTAAACTCTGTCTTCCAGTTCTTCCTTCTAATCATCCTAATCAATCCTTGACTCTGAATTCTTCCTCCAACCTCCCCAACACCTGGCTGAGTACCTCCAGGAAAACAGTGAGAGCTCAAAACAGTTGGTTGAGATTTGATCAGTGGGTTGTCCCCCCCCCCTTCTAAGTTTATTGCTTAGTGAAAGCCCAGCTATATTATAAGAAATATGAATAGAATATAAGTTGTCCCAATTCAACAGGTTAATCAAGGTTATTTAGAGGCTACAGGCATCACTGCAATAAAACAATAATCACAAAAATAATTTAAATAGTTTATTTAGGTCAAACAACAGTTGTAGGAATCCTGTGTATTGCTTTTTGAACACAAACATATAAAATTAATGAAACAAGCATCCATACTTCTATTTTTAAACACTTTAGTTCTACAGGTGGAATGCAGATATTTGAAAGAGATTTTCAACAAGGTCAACACAATGCATGAGGTAATACATACTGGGTAATGAAACAGACCAGCAGTCTGCACCTCCATCCTCCAATTTACAATTCAGGGCAGGAGCTGTTTTGCTTTTTCATTTCACAAACAATTGCTCAACACAGATTGAAATACACCAAAAGAAAAAAATAGTCTTTTTATACCTAAGGAAGAAGCTACTACTCTTAAAATAATCATTTCAAGGTAACACAAATAATTGACCTGGTTTTCTTTGAAACCTCATCAGTAAATCATTTCTTGCACAGTATGTTGGGCATTAACCCTGCATTTAGCACAGGTAGTGTTATGGAGGGCTGGCTGCTGCATACCAAGGTCAGTATCAAGTTCTTCTTCAGGAATTAGAGACTGCCCAGGATACCAAGCAGGACAACACTGACAAAAAACAAAAAACAAAAAGTGAACTGCAGATAGCTCAAAACAGGTTACATTTACTATTAGAAAAATTTAATAAAATGTTACTGAATTTTGTTTTAAATGCTAATTTACAATAAAACACTATGGAACCTGTTATTTTTCACACTGTATATTGATTTTTAATTGTTTTTTTCTTTATTGATTTTAGAGAGAGAGGAAGGGAGAGGGAGAGAGAGATGGAAACATCGATGAGAGAGAACATCAATTGGCCACCTCCTGCATGTACCCCACTGGAGACTGGGCTCACAACCTGGGCATGTGCCCAGACCGGGAATCAAACTGGTGACCTCTTGGTGCATGGGTTGATGCTCAACCACTGAGCCACACCAGCCGGGCCACTGTATGTTTCAAATGGTCTTTACATAGTCTGTGTTTTAACAAAACACAACAGATAACATATACATCCTATTAAAGATAAAATATTATAAACTTGCCATTTTGTGAAGGCTAATTTTACAGTTAGTGTAAAGCACACATTTCTCTCTATTTATGAGATTTGTAAACAGGCTGAACTGCCACCACATTAAAACAATACAAAATAGTTTGCTTTGATAGGTGACTTTTAAAGAAAGATATTTTCACCTGGTTGATATGGCTCAGTGGTTGAGCATCGACCCATGCACCAAGAGGTCACAGGTTCAATTCCCAGCCAGGGCACATGCTCAGGTTGTGGGACCAATCCCCAGTGGAGGGTGTGCAGGAGGCAACCAATTGATGTTCTCTATCATTGATGTTTCTATCTCTCTCTCCCTCTCTCTTCTTCTCTCTCTAAAATCAATAAAGAGTCCATGGACAACAAAGCTGGGGACAGGGTGGGGAGGAGGGGAGGGGGGAATCAGTGGGGGGAAAAGGAGAAACATCTGTAACAAAATGAATAAATTAATTTAAAAAAATAAATAAAATGAATAAAGAAAAAATTAAGAAAGATATTTTCTTTAGTTTTAACAGATTAAATAAAAAAGGAATTTCTCCAATCTTATTCAAAGAAGTTTTACTCTTGTGTTAAGTTACTCTTAGTTCAAATGCTCTGAACACTCCCCCATTTAAATGATTTCTGAAAACTGTTTTGCAAGCTGTTAATTTCAATAGTTATCATAGAAACCAAACCTCAGTGGGAAAAACAGTGCCCTTTAGAGTCATTATTCAAACAACTATGAGTTCTATCCATTTACCATTCATCCAATTTTGCAGAAAGTCCATTCACTTAACTCCTATGAAAGTTGACCAGACTTTTACCATATCAAATGACCCAAAGAACACCACAGTTATCCAGGGGAGACAGTTCATTTGTGCATCTCTAGCTTGATTTTTTTATTTGAGAGAGATAGTACCCATATACTCACTGTTTGCTTCTTCTGTGTGCCCAGACAGGAGATCAAACCCGAAACCATGGCATTTTGGGACGATGTTATAAACCAACTGAGCTACCCCACCAGCTTGATATTAAAGTCAATTTAAAAGACGATCTGGGCTCTGTAGTTTTTAAAGAGAAACAAATTGCTTAACCATTAATTCAAGTGAATGAACTTTTCACTTTTCACACTTATGGTACCAAGAGCTTTAACCAGGAAAAATGTCAAACCTCAGGGTTCAAATTACAGCTTAGAAAAATGAAGTATACAACAAGCACCATCTACTTTCTGTTATTTCAAAGATGCCAGTCAATACCACAGGCCAATTGGGAAGGTATAGGAGAGTGGCTGGAAGGAAATTTTACCCAAAGGGGAAAAAACAGAAAGATCTGTTTGGTGGCTATTTCAGGACAAGTTTCCAAACTGTCTGCTGTCCCATTGACTTGAAGGAATCAATCACACATAAGAAAAGGGCAGAAAAGAACTACAGAGCATGATTATTTTAATTGCCCATGGGTTTTCAGCAAAGAACCACAACTTAAATGCATATTCCAAATTCTTTCTCCAAAGCTGTATTCTTTGTGCACTGAAAAGGAGGAAAGACAACCCTATCAATTGTTCTCTGCAGATAAAGGCTCTGTTTTTGCAGATTTCCTCTAGATCTGGGCCAGAATTGCTAATGACCTGCCCACCCACCTGGGGCCCTCCCCAAAGTGGCCTACAGAAACTGCCCCACACCCTCAGGAACCCAAATGCTTGACAGTGGTCGGCCAGAGGAGGTTGACTTTTTGGGTAGCTAGCTGCTGGCCTTGAAAAACACCCAACCTGAAAGAATCCCTGCTTCTTACTTGTCTTACTTTCCTACAAGAGTGGGGGGCGGGGGTGTCGGGGTGGTCAACAGCCACAATTTTAAACCCACATTTCATTAAATCTGCAGCATTTGTCTGCAAAAAAAAAAAAAAAAAAAAAAAAAAAAAAGATCTCAAGATCCCAGAACTACCAGAGGGGTTCTTTCATATGCACGCAGCATTAAGACAGTTAAGCAAAAGCTGAATGAAAGTTTCTGGACTGTGGCCTTTTTATTTTTCTTCACGTAAGACCACCAGTTGTTAGAGAACGCACAAGAGCTTCGATAGTTCCATTTTTCATAGGCCCAGGTTTAAATTAGATAGAGAAAATGGGGCCTGGGGAAAGGTGCCTAGGTGCTCCCTTCATAGGCTTTTCCATTGTCCTAGAAGAGAACACAGTGTCTGTCCACTCATTAGCATTTTTAAGGACTGTAAGGTGCTGTGGAATCTCCGGGCACTATAACTCAAAATTATATTCCCCCCGAGGAGGCCCCGAGGTTTCAAGTAGGGACTTGAGGTTGTCTTGGCCTCTGGCGGGTTTCATGTCCAAGACCCCCTGAGAATCCCAACCTCCAGAAGGCTCGTCAAGTTCTCTCTTCCAAAATGCCCCGGAATAACTTCTTTACTTCTGTTTTTTAACAATTTTGCTTTCGGTCGCCATGACCCCCATTCTCCTGCCAGGCGCCCGGAGCTAGGAAATAACAAGGGAGTTTAAACCACAAGACAGTTCTGCAGCCCGCTGTTTGAGCTTCCCTGCCCTCCGCGGGCGTTCGCATCCGGCTGCCTTGTTCACAACTCCAGAGCCGCCCTAAAACCAAGCCCCCTTTTTCCACACCTCTCTTTCCACTCCCGGCTCAGTGCAGGCCATAGCGCTGCAAAGCTGCTTTCAACTCTGCCCCCACCACCTCGCAGCAAAATCCTACCCGACGGCTGCGGAGTGTGCGCCTGCGCGCGGCGAAAACACGGAGTGGGGAGGAGGCGGGCCCTCCCTGGCCACGGCTTGAAAAGGCCCGAGCTAGGGCGAGCGGGGGAGGGGTCGAGGCCAGGGCCAAGCCTCCTCTTTCCTCCCAGCGGGTCCCAGCTCTGGCCTTGGCTCGGCTTTCAGGAGTGAGCGCTAAAAACTCACTTCAAAGTCTGTTCCCCTCGCGGGAACAGCCCCTCTAGGGAGCTGCCAACCAGGCCCCGGGCCTCACCACCCCTTCCAATCCCTAACACTAAGAAGAGATAGGAAGGCTGAAGGCGAGGACACTGGTTTAAAAGCCCCGGGAGCTAGGAACATTTCCCTCCCTCGCTGCTTTCCATCCCCACCTTAAGAAAATAAATGGATTACAAAGTTTGTGGCCAACACTACGAAAGCTCACCATTGTTTGGGCTCGTATTGACCCCAGGTCCGGATTAGGCAGCGGCTGATTCCTGCTTTACAGTCCAGTCGACCTAATGAGGCCAGGAGGCGATGGGGCGCGAAGCGTCCTCGAAGCCAGGGCAACCGCCAGTTTAAGGCCTCCAAGGGCCCTGTAGGTGGAGGTCAAAGGGTCAGCGGGCCGAGACCGCAAGAGAATTGACCTTAGAAAATGAGGTCGCCTCCCCCAGGCAAGAACTTCGACAGGGACTTGGAGAGCTTGGTGTGGGCACCTCGACTTCCAGAATGCCTGGTCTCACCGCGGGCAAATCCCGACTGAAAACTTGAGCCTAGAGGGTCAGACAGCCCGAGAGAAAACCAACCTAGCTGCCAAGGGCACACAGGTGTCGATTCCTTGAGAAACTTGAGTGGAAAGAAACCCTTAGACTTTTTTCATGGTTGGGGAAAGGGGTTTTGGGAGGAGGAGAGGGAGCCAGCGGATAAGGAAACAGCAGACAACAAGAAGGGGGGAGGGACAAGGAATTCCTGAACACAACTTGCCTTGGAGGCTTTGTGAGCAGAGGCTGTCAAGTCCCCACTGGCTCTTCAACTCTCCAAGTAGTTAAGACTGACTGCTTTGCTTACCCTGAACCTTGATCTTTAAGGTTCCAGACTGGATAAAGGCCAAATTTCTTTCTGTATGAAAATACACACTTCCCCCTTCCCCAGCCAACAGTGGAAATCTTAAGCTAAACCACCCATTTTGAAAGATAATGGACTTTTAACAAAGGTCTTATCAGGAGCAAGAATGAAATTAGAGGAATATTTCTTTAAACCCAAATAACATGCAATGGTTTCCAGCTGATTCATCTTTAGGATCTAGGATGGAAAGGTTTTGTTTATTGGGGGTAGGGGAATGCTTGTTCTTTTAAAATATTTTCTGAAAATTCAAGAATGTAAACATGCACTCCCAGAGTCAGATAATAGAAAGAAAATCTGTTAAAAGTTTTCTACTAAAATAAGCTTTTCTTTGCAAAAAATGACAAGGGCACAGGATATAGACTATTTGACAAATATGATGCTACACCCAAATTAGAGGAAATCGTGTAGAAGGGCAAAATTTTTACAATACTTTAATACTGGTTATCATCATTGTTAATTGCCATTTCCCCGTCTTAGAACACAATGCTTTACTGTGAAGTTTTTGGTAGAGTAATTTCAAGCCTACTCAGGAAAGATGAAACTCTTCTTGATGCCTCTTGAGATATTTGATATATGTAAGGGGGGGGGGGAGTAAGTTTCTGAGAGAACCTTGCATCCAACCCATTACTCTACTCCTATTTAAGGTTAGGTTTACGTTGCGGTGAGGGTACAGAAGGAATTCATGAAGAAAACAGTAAACTGTTGAAGTTCAGTGAATATTTCAGAAGAAAAACACTATTTAGACTTCAGTTTGAACACATTTTCAGCCAATTTTATGAATATAAACTTTCTGAAAATGTGCTGAGCATTTAAAACACTCTTTGGTTTGAAGTGAAGGAAAAATCCTGAAACAAGAATTTGGTCCAGCACTCTCAATGTCAAGGTCAAGAATAGATTGTCTGGGGTAGCAGTGGTATGTAGACTGACCAGGTTACCTGCTCATCACTTGTGAAGTCATCCCAAATTGTGTTCATGGCATTCAGGCCTGCGCTTTCTCTATTGGTGAAGTAAAGTACAAAAAAAAAAAAACTTCTCCACAAACAAAAAAATTACTTCCAAAACAATTTGCATTTAGAAACTGTGAATAAATAATTGTCTGTTGACAAACATCAGTAGAAAACTTAAAATACACTGCTTCAACTGTATTCAGGGAATCGAATTTTATTTTAATCATCAGTTCTAAGCATTTCAATTTTAGGTTGATTTATTTAAACATTAAAAAGATGTGCCAAGACGTTTTGTTTTTTTTTTCAAAAATAACAATAAACAAAATTCTGGATTTCAAAATGATTAATGTATAATACCAAATTGACTGCCACCAAAAAACCTGGAGCATTGCCCCTTCAAGAGAAGGAGGGTACTTAAGCCTATTCATTACATTTCTAAATTCTTTACAATTCCTTATCTCCACCATATTATTTACTGATTTGCAAGCTGGTTATTCATACAGAGATTGGGCTCTCAGTATTAAATAGTACCCTATGTTAGTAAAAAAAATTCTTAGTACTTTACCCACTACAACACTCCAAAATAGTAAGCAGTTTCTTTTTCATATAACAACTGTAAAATAATTGTTTGTCCAAATGAGTTGCTTCACTGAAGATTAAATGTATTGTTAATATTTTATTACAAAGCAAACAACCATTTTTCATTGTATTGATTTTAATAAAAACAATGCTCTTAACATCTTTGCCTACAAACCATGAACTTTAAAAATACATATTTTGTAAATGCTTTTCCTTCCATAATATCATTTTAGCACCATTGCAGTTATTACACCACTATAAAATGTTATGAATAATTGTGAAAATTATTAATTGAACTATATACAGCAAAGACAGATCAGCCTTTCCCTTTCAAAATTGTAAATGGACTGTTTTTTTAAAAGAAGCACTTTAATAGTAAATTAGCATGGCTCAACTGGCCTTACTCATCACCACTGTTTCAGACATATGCTTACTTTAAAAAAATATATAGATAGCTAGATAGATTTGATAGGCAGATTAGATAAATCATAGATACAAATATATATAGGTATATGGGTGATCTCTCAATAGAATAGAAACATGCATCCTGCTCCAATGTTCATTTTATGTAAGATAATAAAAAACTAAGGGACATAAAACTCATTAGGTTACCTTATGTTTGTAGGGCAGGGATGATTAAGTCCAGCTTCTCAGTCAAGATTGAGATGTCATGGCCACTAATTGAATTGAGCAGTAATATTTGATTTGCATGCCAAAAATTGGGGACAAACATATTTAAACCCACAGTTAAAGAACCATCTGAGCTACAGATAAAGAAAGGAGGGTCTTACCAGATGGAAAGTGACGCTGTAAGGAATCCATACCAGATGGAAATTGACACTGTAAGGAATCCATACCGCAGTAGAAAAATAATTTAATAATTAAAAAAGGGATCTGAATGAGTTATAAATACCAACAAACAAGATTCATTTGCTCGTGTCTTTTTTAGAAGACTGTTACAAAACAAGAGAAAGGAGTCAGTGGTTGGTTCAAAAATTATAAATTTTGTTCTTCTTTCAAATAATAAAATTTAATGCTAAAGCAGTTATAATCAAAAGCTGTACATACTTTGTTAGAAAACATTTATCCACAAATATTGTTCAATTTCCAGCACTTGTAGCAATAATTAAATTACAATGATAAATACAGCATCAATGGATATGTATTTACAAAAAAAAAAGTTATTACAAAAGGCAACTGTATACTAAATGTCACAATCGGTGTCCAGTAACATCACATCCTCAGCCTGAAAAACATACTGAACAGTTTTAAGCCCATTAGACAAAAATACATTCACAAGAGCAATGCTTTGAGGAAAAGTTCAAGACATAACAGGACTTTGGCATGGTTTAAGACTGCGAGGATTTACACAATCACCACTGAAGCAAAGAATTTCCATCAGATTAACATCACCACCACCAAGCCTTCTGTAACTTCCTCTCAAGAATCAGGACACGTGTTAAAATGAACTGAAGGAGTTTTAGGGATGGGGTGTGCAGAGAGCAAGAGAACGGGAAAAAAGCAGTGAACAAATTGTTTTAATTCTTCAAATGCCAAAACATATTTATTTCCTATTCCTGAGAAAAGGGGATGACTGCTTTTGGATCTTACCCAGAAACCTTCCTGGAAATTACAGTGAACAAGATGTAGCCCTATATATGGTCTGTTGCCTTAAAACTCCATTTCCATTAGATTGGCCTCAGTTTTCTTTTTAAAATACATTTGGTCCATCCTATGGTTAACAGGGTTTGTGTTTGTGTTTTTCCTCAGACGTACCATTCGTTAAAATTGGGAGGAAGTCCAGGGTTGTGGCTGGTGCTAGTTTGAACTGCAGAAGGGGTTTTAGTGGAATCTTTACTGTTTGCAGAAGCTATAGCGGGTGGAGTGGAAGATTCATAGCCTGAACTGGCAGCAGGGGAGGAATCTGACCCTTGAGATTCATGAACCTAAAATTAACATGTATATATTATAATGAATATAATTCCAACCGGCATTGTGCAAGCAAAAACAAGAGCAGAATTCAAGCACTGTAAGAGCAAGACCACCCAATGACCACTTAAAAGAGAAATGCTGCTGATTTTGTTTGTTTTGAATTTCCATATTACCTATATCTAGAAAACTTGATGTTCACTAACAAAACAGTTTCAGTCCTGATATTGGCTTATGGAAAAGAAATAAAGCACTGTATTATTCATGCTTCTTCAACAATGCTTTCTCCGTGGATGAAGTGGCATAAGCACTTGGTCCTTGGAGCCTTATAAAATATTCCCGGGCCCAGGTTCCACCAAACCCAGTTTGGCTTGGGAAAGCAGGTACAGAGAAAGGTGGCGCAGGCACCCTAGGTGCTGCGAGGTCTCAGAAAACTCCGTGGGAATCAGACTTCGATTCTTGGCCCTATTGTTTTATGGGAAGCTAGAGAGAGAATGAACCACCCACCCCCGGGTTCGGAGGCGCCGGCACTCTTGTTTCCTACTGCGGGCTGAGCTGGGAAGAAGCAGCCACTGCAACCTCAAGCCCTGGCGAGCTCGGTTAGAGCTTCCTAATAAACAACCGATTGTTCCCTCCGCTCCCTACTCGTCCCCACAGTGCTCTACCCCCTCCCGCTTCAGGGAAGAGAGCAAAATAGGTTCAAGGTGTCACCACTGGAGCAAATCGGACTTTACTTGGAGGATACAATGTGAGCAGCGCGGGCGCTTCTTTCCAAGACCGGGCCTAGTGTTTATAAACCGCTGACCGCTAATAAAGAGGTAATTACCTTCATGTGCTTGCGCAGAGAACTCGGGTGCGTGTAAGACTTGTCGCACACTTTGCAGATATAGGGCTTGTCGGAGGTGTGCACATGCATGTGCTTCTTGCGGTCGCTGCTGTTGGCAAAGCGCCTGTCACAGCCTTCAAATTCACATTTGAAAGGTTTCTCACCTGCAAAAGGCAAAAACACAAAGAGGGGAAAATATGGTCAGGGCCAGAAGCTTCCTAGAGCCGAGCAGCGCAAGACAGCGCCCGGTGAACTTCCAGGAGAGGGAGCGCCTACTGGGGGGCGGCTATAGCTTCTCTTTTCCCTGGAGAAAAATGCAGAGTGCTGGTTCACCCTACCAGTTTGGAAGTGGTGGGCGGGGTAGGGCAGAGCTGGTCCAGAACCTGAGTGTCCCTTTGTTCTTGTGCAGGGTGGGAAAGTCCAGGGCTCCTCCAAAGTTTCCCCTAAATTGTGGTTCCATCCTACCCGGCCCAGAGCTCCCAATGCCTGGCTACATTCTACCACTAGGCGATGGAGTCAATCCCGGGCGGCACAATGGACCGGAGACAGGACAATCCCGTTCAGTTCCCTCTTTGTACCTGTTAATTTGCCTCTTTCAAATGCAGCGATTTTGCTAAACCCATTATTTAAAAGCCTGGTTTGTGGTACTTAACGTTCAAAAAGAAAACTATATACATCCGAGGACCCCGGACTGTTTACAAGATGTTCTGAGAAAATCACGCAACTGTGATGCGTTTTCTACGTTAGCTTTCCTCCGGTAGGACTGAATTGAACCTGGAACTCCAAATCAAAATAGTTTGACAAAAGTATGTTTTAATTGGGAGATTTGCGGATCAGGGGTAAAAAGACTGGAAGTAAGCTAAAGTTAGCTTTCATTAGCATTTCTATGGTTTCCTTTCCCAAATGTGTGCCGAAAGCTAAATTGCTTGTAAGCAATACGCTCTCAACACTTTCGGAGTCCCTTCACAGTAGCCCAGAAAGGGAGACAAAAAGAGGCGACGCCAGTTTGTTCCTGGGCTCGAGACGGTTCCAATTAGTTCAAAAACCACAGAGCCGCCTGCCCGGAAAGTTACTAGTGACCAAAAGCGCTGCAGGACGGGAAAGGCGAAAGATGGAGGGTCACTGACAGCGCTTCCTTTCCCAAAGGCCCAGGAGGGAGATCGCCACTCTCTTTGGCCAGGAGCGCTCGCTGAATGTCAGCTTCAGGGCGAAGTGCCACAGTGAATCCTGTGCCGGCCGCCCTTTCCCCTTACCTGTGTGGGTCCTCTTGTGAATCTTAAGATTCTCGGAGCGGGCAAAGATCTTTCCACAGCCGGGGAAGGGACATGGGAAGGGCTTCTCGCCAGTGTGCACTCGAATGTGGTTGACTAGTTTGTACTTCGCTTTGAAGGACTTGCCCTCGCGGGGGCACTCCTCCCAGTAGCAGACGTGGTTGTTCTGCTCCGGGCCCCCCACATGCTCCATGGTGACATGTGTTACCAGCTCATGCATGGTGCAGAAGGTCCGGTCGCAGCTCTTCTTGGGCCGGCTTATCTGTGCCTCCTCAATCCACTTGCAAGACAGCTCCTGCTTGATGGGCTGCCGCATGTAACGGAAGAAGGCTCCAGGTCCGTGGTGGGCTGCCACGTTCACGCCCGCGTTCACGTTCATGGGGGTGTAGTTAGGGAACTGTGCGCCGGCCGTGTAGGGGTCCGTGCGCGGGCTGGCTACCGTGCGGTACGGGTCCGCACGGCCAAAGAGCTCCCCGCGCAGCCCCATGTGGACGTGGTTGTTGTCCACGTGCCCTGTAGGCGACAGGTGCCCGGTGCTCTGCTCATGCAGTCCGGGGAAGATCAGGTAGCTTGGGGGCTCAGGGATGCCAGCTGAAGCGTGCAGACCACTCGCCGAACCCGCGAAGAGAGTGTGCTGCCCGCCACCCGAGGCAGCCTCGCCGAGCCCGGAGCTGCGCTGACGGAACAGAAAGTCGCGCGTGGAACTGAAGGCAGCGGAGGCGGCACCGCCATAGCTGGGCACCTGGCTGATGTGGTGATGGTGATGATGATGGTGGTGGTGGTGATGGCCCAGGGCATTGGCATAACCCGAACCCTGTGGCGTGAACGCAGAGCTCTGGCTGGAAGATAGATCCTGAGCTGCAGCGGGGCTCAGTTTGAAGGCAGCGGAGGCGGCAGCGTGAGGCGAGTCCCCGAAGGAACTTAGCCCCATGCCCGCCGGCTCGCGGTTGGGCATCTCGTGGTGGCGCGGCGCGCCGAAGCTTCCCACTCCCAGCCCGGGGAACTGTGGGCCTCCATCCAGGAGCATCGTCATGGGTGGGACGTCCTGGGCACAGGCGATCGGGCAGCAATTAGCGAGGGTGCGGGTGAAGGAGAAGTCGGAGAGGGGTGGAGGCAATTGGACACTGCTGGCAGACCCTCAAAGCAGTACCAGGGACTGCAACTTTCCGTCGCTGCGAGAGGCTCCTGCAGAAGGATAGAAGGGAGAAGGGGAAGTATAAGGAGATGGAGTGGGGAGGAGGGTAGAAGGAGGAGAGGGGAAGGGAGGAGAAAGATTCTGGGACTAGATCTGGTTTAACAAATTAACAGGCGTTCACAAAGAAAAATAAGCAAAATAACAAGTAGAGGGTGGAGTTTGCCAATTCTGTCCCAGGCAACCCTCCTTTCCCGGAGAGTACAACCGCAGGGCCAGGAGGCTGCCTCCACTGGGGCCTCCCGGCTGGGCTGGGTTAAATAACAGAGCCAGCGCACGGCGGCCGGCAGGCTGGCAGCGGGCTGGAGGCAGGCTCGGTCCGCGCAGCTCACTGCGCGAGTCACAGCCTCTTCCCCTGCAGAGTAATGTCCTTGGACTGACAAAGTCAATCACTCAGTCCTTTCACAAAAACCGAGCGAGAGGCCGTGCGGCACGCACCAATGGGAAGCCAGATGGCCTGTGGTCACCTGACCCCCGGCACTGCAGCCCATTGGCCGCCGCCAAACTGATTGGCAGCGCGGCGTGGTGAACATGGCAGCCTCCGCTGAGAGACCGCCTCTGATTGGGCCATGGTCCGGCATTTGGCAGGTGAGGCGGCAGTGGCTCGGCGGCCACAAGTAGGCTTGCTCTGCTGTAGGGAACTGGAGCCAGGCTCCAGCTAGCGACCTGAGGGGCGGAGTCGGGCCTCTCCTTGTCTTGACTCGGTACCGAAGCGGGCAAGCATCCCTCTTGCGCGCTGTGCCCGCTTTGACCAAATGAACTCGTTGCCCCTCGAAGATTATTCCCTCTGTCAGTGCGGCGCCTCACCTCCCCGAGATTGTACCTCTTTGGCGAGCGCCCACTGGCTGAGTCCCCCCACACACCACTATAGGTCCTGATGATCCAGAGACCCCGAACTGAGGCTGGCCAGCTCTCCGTCTGTGCCCTGAGCTGCTGCCGGCGGTCGATACCCAAACCAAGAGAAACTGTTACAATTAGAGTTGATCTCTCTTCCGTGTTAACCAGCGTTGAGTCTTTAGTTTGTGAGTAGTGGCTATACTCGCCACTGTCCCCTTTCCCCCCACAACACACCAGACACAACACAGCAAACATATAACACAGTAAACTCGCCCACGCATCAGGAAACATGCACGCAACACACCACACTAAACAGGCACACAACTAAACAGTGAGCGCACAACCCAATAACACAACGAACTGCACAAAAATACAGTAAACAGGCACACAACAAAGTAAATACACTCATATAACACAGCAAATGCACGCACAAACATAAATGCTGAACATTCACAGAATACACGTAGGCGGTGTACACAAAACATGCACACAACAAACTACACCACATAGCAAACTCACTAAACACAAGCAGGATCCCTGCAGTTTTCAAACCACAGGGCTAATTAGCTTCGAATTCTCAACATTTTCAAAAGCAAAAGTTGGGGGTGGGAATAAAGACTGAGATGAAAGTTTACCCCCCTTGGAACAACTAAGGCTTTGCTCTCTTTTACTTCTTCCTGGAGCAGTGAGGGGGCTTCTTATCCCTTAAGGATTTAGTTTCCAGGGTTATGTGTGGGATCACTTCCTCCTCCTGTCTGGTGCAAGGTCTTTTTGGACATAATGACTAGATTTAGAGAAGGCTATGAATCCACTTTTTTTTGGGGGGGGGGGTCTAGAAAGACATTTACTAGAGAGTGAGAGTGGAAAGAAAAGACGGAGAGAACGATGGCTGTGATTGCCACATCCCTAACAGGGCCAAGCCCCAAAGTCTAAACCTTGAGGCTGCCTTATACCCTGGTCGCCATCTCTCTGTAGGAAACAACATCTGATCAAGTTCAGAGGCGCTAGGAGAGACCGCCTCAAGCAGCGCTTTATAACTGCAGCCTTTCACTTCCTGCCCCCCAAACCGCTTGACCTGGCCAACACTCCACCTTCTTTCTTAGCCCGTTTGCTTCGGGGAGACATGATGGTAGCACCCTTACCGTAGTCAAACCCTCCTATCAAACTCGCTCCAATTCTCCCTCTACCTCCAGAGCTTTCTCCCCAGGTTGGAAGGTGAGTTCCCTGCTAACTTAAATTATTACGTTTACTGAGAACTGGCTCTCGAAGAATTGTTTCAGTGTCCGCTCAGCAGAGGGTTTCTTTGGGTGAGAAGAGGGAGGTGGTTTCAGAGAAGAACAAATACGCCTAAATTATGCAAATGAATTCTCTGGAGTCAAGTTTACAAAAAGGGAGGATAGCTTTTTTTTTTCCCTTTTTATTTTTTCTTTTCACTTTTTCCTTTATATTCTTCCTTTCCTTTACCTCGCTCCACCACCCATCAACCTCCATGGACCCTGGGCGGGTAGTTGGTTTGAAAAAGTATGAATTTTCTCATGGTGCCAGTCCGGAGGAAAGCGATTCTCAAGGCTCCGGGGCGGAGACGGTGGCTGTTGAGCCCTAGCTGGGCCAGGAGTTTCCAGGGAGCCCAGCCAGTTATCCCGAGAACCATGGGCCTTGCGTGTTTTGGAGTCAGGGCGGGCAGCTGAGAGCGGGGCAGAAGAAAGAGGGCTGCCAAAGAAGTCCAACCTGCCCCTTTGTGGGGAGGTGTCTGGATCACAGGGCGGGAGGATGTTGTCGCCGCTGACCTACCCGGTGCCTAGTGTCCGTTTTGATATAGCCACATTCCGATAATTAATTGCCTCCAGCACGTGCCCGTAGTTATCGGAACAAAAAAGACATAATTCAATTAGATCATCAACCAAGAAGTGGGGAGGGGAGCTGCTTGTTAAGGGACCCACCTGAAGCAATTCAGCCAGGCCAAAACTCCGGGCGGTGGAGCCATGCCTAGGGCAGCCCGAACCAGCCAAAGGTTGCGACTTTGGGAAGGTGTCATCCCTCGGTGGGTTGCAGGGACTCCAGATGCCGCCAGAAGGACTCGTCTGGCGTCTTTGTGAACAGCAAGGCAGAGGCAAGCCATTTCGAATTCTATTTGTGTTGGGTGGAGATTTCCTTTCGGGGAAGGGGGAACCTTGACCCTTGAAACTTGATAGAAACAAAAATATCTCCAAATATAGCAAGTTACCGCCTGTGAAAACAAATCCGCCCCCACTGCAAACCACTCGCGTGCGTCAATAATAATGAGAAAGGTTCCTAATTACCTGCAGCTCCCACCCCTCAACTACTTTTCAGAGGCCCTAGGAAGAATTTGGGGGAGAGGGAGCTGAATCAGAGAGCAGAATGGTGGCTGAAAGAGGAGAGCACAAAAAAGTTTTTCCTGCACACAGGGTGCGGCAAAGGCAGAAAAGAGCTCTACTTTCTTCGTTTCTCAGGTGGGGAAAGGACTCACTGGGTTGGGCTGGGCAGAGCTTGGCAGCTTGAACCCAGGGATCGGATCGAGGATCTTATTTTACGCTATAATTGATGCTTTCTCGGAAGTTTTGGCTTACTGTGGTTTATATGTGTATTAGGCGGCATAAATCAACCAATAAATCTCTTTTATTCGTCCCCCAGTTGTATGTGGTCTAGTCTAAATATTCAAGTGTCTGTATGGTCAGGAAATATATTGGGATCCTTTCCCTTACACTGAGTTCAAACAGTAAATAGGAAAAAAAATATTTTCACGCCCAAATCTGAAGCAATAAATAAAATCAAATATACTGATTATTGCCAAATGAGCAAAGCTTTTGAGCCTGAATTTTGAGATTCATCTTGAAGCAGGAGGGAAACAGAACATCTGTAGGGGCAGGAGAGATTGTTTCTCTGTATAACTCAGTGCCCCACTCTGCAGCACCTTTCTCTTCACTCCAGCCTCCTAAAAATTAAAACACATACAGCACGTTGTGTTATCAGGCAGGATTTCTTTCTAAACTCATTTTCTGTGGCAGACATGAAATTATCCTAGGTCGGAGACCTAGCAATTTTCTTTAAATCCAAGGGAAACACTGAGGTCTTTTCTTCTATTTTGTATTTAGAAAAGATTAGCAACGTAACTCTTGCAACATTTTAAAGACCCTTTAAACCCAGCAAGCGAATTTCCGTTTTGCCAATGCTTCCTGGTTTATTTCAATAAATGAATCTTTGAATCCAGGAAGGGAATTATTTCAAGACACTGAATTTGGTGCCCCTGTCTCTTTTTAGTGTAGCACAGTGTTTATAGTTGAAACATGTCCTTGAAACTCACCATTATTGCCATTAATTGTTTCCTGGTAAATGACACTTTCTTTACATAAATCCCCACTCTCTGTTCAGAGTCCCAGGTCTTAAAAAACAAACAAACAAACAAACAAACAAAAAAAACACTGCAAATCACAATTGAAAAAAATAAATGAAGAGGGAAGATATCTGAGAAAATAGCATGTTTTTAACTCCTCTTTATTTTTATGCTAAAAAAAAGCTCTTAATTGGTTTCAGAGGCTGAGTTGAACTTTGTATCTCTGGAGCTCCAGGACCTTTGTACATACTCATCAACTGCTCATTTGGGCTCCAGACTTTGTCAGCTACAACAGAGTTTTCACCACAGTCCCACCATTTAACAAATATATTATAAGTTCTAAATACTTTAAAAATTCAATATAGAATAAACAGATATTGTTAATACACCCTTTCTAAAAATCTGTTCTTCCTTTGTCCTCTGCAGTCCTAGGCATATTGATGCCCAATGTAATAAAATGCAAACCAGACATAAATGAAACATTTTCATTGTACTTGTCAATCAAGGCTGTGTAGATGTAGACATTTATATATATAAATGACACAGGCTGAAGTAAATAAGGTTGAACCTGGAGAAGGAAAGCAGAGAGTTGAACTAGAGTTACCAGAATCCAGTGTGGGATTATGAAGAGAGACCTGAAAATACAGGAAATGGAGTGAAACCCTAGGAGGTAGACAGTGCACAGTAACCAGCCAAGTCTAAGTGCAAGGCTCATGGTGAGTGTAGTCTTGGCCAGTCACTTCCTGCTACCAGTGAGTACTTTTACAACTCTGAGGAAGCCTAGATGTTAGCTTCCAGGCTCTAAAGTACACTGGCAGTGGCTCTGGATACCAGAAGGACAAGCCACATTAGAAGAGGACTTTCCTTTCCTTTAGGATCAGAACCCCTTTTAGGTAGAGAGTGCCCAGGCAAAGAGAGAGGAAAACCCAGGCAGAGGAAGAACTATGCAATCATGCATTTGACTTGTGTTTACAAGTTCTTTCTTAGAGAACAGAAGAGGTGGGATGAGGAGCACGGATTTGAGGTGTGAAACTTGCCTAACATTCTGGAGCACACATTTACACAGGAACATAAGTTCCTTTTAGCTACAAAAGGATCCATTAGTTCTAAAATGTAAACGATTCCAGGTCCTAAACAAGTGGAGAGAAACATTTGAGTTTCCTGAGGTATTTGCTCATTCAGTTTTTTGCT